GAGAAGTAGCCTTCATTTTTCTCCAACTTCAACTAATTATATGAGATTCTAAGGAAATGCCGACTGAGACAACCATAAATGGAAACTCCAGTGAACTTCAAATTTCTGGCATGATCCAAAAAGATGACCTTAAACATGTGCATAGCAGAAAAGACATGATGAACCGTGCTGGAAACAACTAAAACTCCCCAGTCGCTGGAAACAACGAAAGCAGATACAACCACCACAGATTAATCATAATCAAAAGGAACAACGCCATCAAAGCTATTAACTGCAGCAATAAATTTCCCAATCAGTCTTCTACTCTCTCACATTTGCATGACATTTGCAAACAAAAGCGGCAGCAATAAGAATGACCTCCACAAACCTCAATAAAAAAATAAATAAATAAATAAGCTAACTCGTTTAGAACTGTCCTCCAATCCTCATGAATAGCAAGAAAAACCAACAATGAAAATTAAGTTTTCTGACCAAATTCCCTCTGGAACGTAAGGGGGAATCTCTTAAAATTGCAAACCACTCACCTTGATTAGTGAGGAGAATTTATCAGGTAGCAGAATATCACTTCTTAATCAATGTATCACAAATTGAAAAGGCTGACTAACAAAATAGCAGCACATAAAAACTGGTAGAATGGGCTGAACATTACAACACTACTAGATGACTAGTTACATCAAGTACAACCAAAGTCAAATATAATCAGAGTTACATGATCCCATCAATTAATTTCTCTGCATGAGTTAGCAACCTACCAAGCAAAAGAACAGATATGCCAAGTATGCACCAGATACATGGGGGGGGAAAAGGAGCATGATATATCAAAGAAAAGGGAATATTACAAGTTAATAAGTCGACCATTAAGTGCTTTGCATTCCTGAATTACTTCATCCTCATCTAGAAGCTCCTCTAACGTAAAATTTTCCTTGTCCAAAACTGCCTCCATCTGCAACAAATGAAAATGAGATGAATAAAAATGAAGACATTTACATTAAAACTCAAGTAAAGCTGGAGCACTGTGATCTTCCTGTTCGCTGAACTAGGGGAATGTAATAAAGAAAAGTATACTTGTGTTACTGGATTCTAAATTCCCTGAAACAAACACATTATTGAATTCAGAATTGTTATGCCTTAAGAAATGCCAACTCAATAGAAAAATGTGTCCAAGTCATTCACATCTGGGAAGATAAATTCTTTCATAAGAAACTGGAGTTTAATTATCAAAAAAAGAAAATATAAAAGTGGGAGATGAGGAGTTCCCACCATGCCAAGGGAATTATAAAAGGGCTTCCCAATTGGCGAAAATTTTAACAAATCAGTGATAACAAAATTCATTTTAGAGATTAAACACCAGCTAGAACCATAAACCCTACTCGCCTTGTGGTTGATTTCTTCCTCTTGGAAAGCCTCTTGTTTCATTCAAACCAAATTCCCCATAGAAAAGCTATCACCATGTTGGCCCAAAGAAGTTTCTCTTTGACATGAAAAGCCACGCCACTTAACAGCGGAAAAGTAGCTTTGGACAACTCACTGGAAAGCAGTTATTAAGCTTGAAAAAATAAAAAAAACAGGCTCCGAGCAAAATTCAGCACAGGTCATGGAAGAAATATGTGTCTGATACAGCCGGCACTGGCTTTGCAAAGGACACGCCAGCTGGGATTAAAACATGCTTCAAGCATACTCCTTTGCAATTCTACTCAACAGGATTTTCCACTGCTCGCTCTTCCATGTCTCATGGTTCTACCACTAATACATTGTTTGGCACTTCAATCTTCTTTTGTCTTCTATGAATCTTTTTTTTTTTTTTTTCTCACTCTCTTCTCTAAATCTTCAATGCACCACATTCCCTCTATACCTTTCTCCAGCGATTTATCCGTTTCTTCACAAAGCTTAATTATCTCTCATCCACTTTTGCCTTTACACGTTCTCTCCAACTTCTTAACCACTATGATTGGTATAACTTTTTTTTTTTTTTTTTTTTTTGAGGTCAACCAAGATTATACTGAAGACTCTTGCTTACAGTCTCGACCAGTAGCTCTCACAAAGGTCTTTGCAAACCTCGTTGCTCCAGTCTTTCCAATAGTTTCAGTCACTCGACAGTTTCTCTTCTAGGTTCGAATTTAATTGTGACTAAAGGGGTGCTGGTTTTCTTCTAATTGTAATGAGTTTTCATCTTCTTCTTCACTGATTCACAATTCTAATGGGAAATCTAGTTGTAGTTTGGAGTCAAAATTGCTTCTGTTGAATTCACAAGTACTGGGAACGGATCAAGTTGATCATTGCGTGGATGATAACTTTGAATCTTCATTTGCTCTTCTTTCTACAGATAGTGTTGTTGGCCCTTTATTAAATTCAGTTGATGATCAATTGAAAGAAGTTTCCCCTACATTGTCCACTTTGCCAGTTCCTAGTACATTCACCTCTCTTACTGAGACCTGTGGTCTTCAGATGCATGCAATTCCACCTCCATCGCCTCATATAAAAGCTTAGTTGCTTTCTATTGCTATCCTTCCAATGAAATTAATCTCAAGTAATACTAGAGGTCTTAGAGAATTCTCTAACGGGATGACTGTGTTGATAGAAACTAAGAGTAGTTCGGCATTATCTCGAAGGTTGGTCTCTTTGGTCTGCTCACCTTGTTGCAACCTTGATTTCTACGAGCATTGTGGTTGTTTCCTATGTTTTTTTTTTTTTTTTTTAATGGCATGGTTGGAGGTCAATTCAATTTTCTTTGAAAGAATATAGTAGCTTTCTGTGTTACGTGATTGGTGGAGGCCTATTTCATAGCTTCAGTTTTTGTTTGCAAGCTCTCAAAGTCTTTCCAAGATGTTGAAAAAGCTCTTTGTTCTTTCAGTATTTATTTTCATGGTTAAATTTCAAGATGGGAGCATTTGTTGTTTTGTATGCTTTTCTTTTTCTTGTTCTTTTTCTTTTTCACTTCCTTTGGGAGTTTGTATCACTTGATATTTATTCCTATACATGGGAGCAGGAAAAGGTATTGAACTGACAGGGAAGGGTACGGACCATATCCACGAAAATCATATTGAATACGGAGGAAAACAGAGAAGTTGCAGACCACGCATCGCAATTTTCATGTATGAAGCTATTAAGTCAAATCCACGTTCTCCAACTTCAATTTCCTTCCCATTGAAGCGCGTGTAAAATCAAGAATAATATTGATAAAAATTTTGCCCAATAGGAACTGAAATAGAAACAATTCGCAGTACACAAACCACAGTAAAGGAATGATGAATCCTACAACCAAGAAAATGGAATAATGAAGATAAAGAAAATGAGACTCACAGGCGAAGCTGTGGACAATCCAGCCATGCGCCAAAACATGGTGAATTGTGGGGGTAAACTGCCAAACTCAGATCTGCAAACCCAGAAATCGAACCACCTGGACTACCCTCCCCAGCAAGAATTCTCAAAAACCACCTAGACCACACAGAAAAATAATGATCCAGAGTCGCCTCAGCGAAACCCTAAAAGAACGTGCATGGATTCGAACAAGTTAAGATGGATCGAAAGAAAGGTTTGAGGAGCAACGTTAGAAAAGAATGAGAATTCAGAGAAGCGCGAAAAATAACCTGAAATCGTGGAAATGTGATAGAATTTTGTGAAAAAAGTAGGAACTTCTTTCCTGTTGCTTGTTAATTGCGTTTGATCTTTTGTTGGCAGAGAAATTGGAGTTGAAATTTTCATTTACATTCATGTATTTATAAACAAAAACGTGCCCCGCTTCTTATAGGACTTTTTTGGTAGGAAATTCCTTTTGTTGCCGTTGTGAATTTTGATGTTTCCATTTACCCTGCAAAAAGCTGCAATTTTTTTTTTTTTTTTTTTTGACATAATAATTAATTATTGTTATTTTTGGCTTAAAATATTTTGGGTTTTTTACACCATAAATAAGCACAATAAACTCATTGCCAAGAAACTAGTGTTGTTGTTGACTGTTATAGACTCTCCAAGAATTTTGGAGTGTTTTTTTTTTTTTTATTCTTTTATCATCAACCCACTCTTTCTTTTTTGGAAAAAAAAATGATAGCTTTAAGCAAAACTTTAGAATATTCCAAAAAATAATGTCAGAAAGACATAATTTTGATTTGTTTCCATCATATAACATAAAATATATATATATATATATATATATATATATATATATATATATATATATATATTATTTTTCTTCTTTTTTTTTTTATAACAACAAAATATTTGTAATTGTAACCCCTCACTCAAATACAAAACTAGTAGATATTATCTATTCTGGTTGGTTATGTATGTTCGTCCTCGTGATATCAACTTCATGATTTTAAATGCATTTGTTAGGGGGAGATTTCCACACGAGGTGTGATCTCACAATCCACCCTCTTTGTGGTAATCGTCATTGTTGGCACACTGCCCGGTGTATGTCTCTAACATAGTTTGTAATAGTCCAAACTTATCGCTAACAAATGACTTTTCGTTCTCTTCAACCAGCATGGGATCTCATATTGGTTTTTTTCCCACTCAGCACAAATGATTTTTCGTATAAATAGATCATTTATGTTTTGCAAAGCACGTCCTGCGTAAAGTGATGTTGTGTCCGGCGCACTTTGATACCAAGTGACGTCAAGATGATCTTATTAGAAGTTTCTTTTGTCTAATTAGTAAACTGAGTACATCTATTTATATGCGTTATTGTGTGTGCCAAGTCATACGATGATCTAGCTAGAAGTAGAGGGAGAACATACACGTGTCTCGACCCAATTGGTACCAAGCTCAGTAGGTGCTCCCTCGCTTCGGGATCCATCTATTTATATGTGTTATTGTGTGTGCCAAGTCATACGATGATCTAGCTAGAAGTAGAGGGAGAGCATATACGTGTCTCGACCCAGTTGGTACCTAGCTCAGTAGGTGCTCCCTCGCTTCGGTTTGGTCTTAAACATTGCTCGATTAGATATTTCCTCTTTTGAGGTCGATCTGCCCATCGCAATTATGGACAACTATGAATTCGTTATTAACACTTTTCCCTTTCATACTTCACACCTTTATACAACATTTTAATGTTCAACGTTTACCTGTGTGTGATCCTCTCTTTCTACTTCATCACTGACTCTCAAAGCCCTAATTCCGAGGACTCCCGAGTTTTGCAAATTTTGCTGTCCACCGTCAACTGGAAATTCCATTCTCCGATTCAGTTTGCATTTTGAAAATTCCGGTGTTCCAGAGATCCCAAGGACAGAAGACGAAGCTACGCTTACGATATGCTTGGTGGATTGTATGGAGACCTCCCTCCGCCTTCTTCGGCAGAGGAAGACAAGCCCAGCAATTCTACCGTCTGGTCGAGTAGTACAAAAATGGCGCCGCCTACCCTACGTAAACCATCTTCCGTCTTCGCGCCGCCAACTGTTCTCAGATCTCAAAGCAAAGTAAAACCAGCCACCTCGACGCACCCGAAGGCTTCGGTGGAGCCATCTCAGCCGATTCTGGCTGAGGCCATTACGCAACCGGCATTGGTGGCCGTGACGTCGACAGTTATAGAAGAGTATGATCCAGCAAGGCCGAATGACTACGAGGAGTATAGGGTGGAGAAGAAGAGGAAGGCCATGGAGGCTGAGATGAGGAAGGAGCTTGAGAGGCGTAGGCAAGAGGAGGAAGAGAGGGAAAAAAAAGAGCGAGAGGAGCGAGAAAGAGAATATTCCGATTCCAGGTTAAATATTTCAGGGGAGGAAGCTTGGAGAAGGCGTGCGGCGAAGAGTGGGGCAGTTCCGAGATCGCCATCACCACCAAGTACCGGAGACGGCTTCAGCATTGGAAAGTCGGAGACTGGTGGGTTGGGAGTTGGGGCTGGTGGGCAGATGACAGCGGCACAAAGAATGATGGCTAAGATGGGTTGGAAAGAGGGGCAAGGGCTCGGGAAGCAGGAACAAGGGATTACCACCCCTCTGATGGCAAAAAAGACGGACTTGCGTGCTGGAGTAATTGTGAACGCTAATGATACGAAATCAGAGAAGAAGGTGAAGAGTGTCAACATCAACGGGCTACCCACTCGGGTTCTCATGCTCAGAAACATGGTACGATGTTGTAGACTTCTGACATTTTGTTGATTTGAAATGAATTTGAAATAGCAGAGCTTGTTTCCGGGGCATTAGAGTTCGAGCGGTTTTTTCTTTTTTCTCAAATTCCTATTCAAATATTACGAATCTTTAGTTAGATTAGAGCAATCTAGAAAGTTTTACCGTAACTTATTATATTATATCTTCATCCTTTATGCAGTCTGTAGGATAGTTGCGAACGCCATTATATCACGCGATTCTTCTCTTAATCTATCGTTAAAATGCATGCACTTTAGAAAAATCTTGGTTAGCCACAACTGGACGAAAGTCCAATTCCTAACTCTTTTTTTTTTTTACCTTTTAACTGCTTGCCAAATGATATACGCTGACCTATTTGCAATGTTAGACCACTACGGAGAATGGATTCTTAACTAGGCAGTAAGGCTATTATCTGCCAACCACCATTCTTATCAGCCGATCTCTCAAAAAAAAAAAAAATTTAATATCTGAAAGCTTTCTTTCACTGCACTACGGTACTTATCATAAGGAATAAGATATGGACTAAACAATCCATCGCTGCATATAGATTTATGCTCGTGTGGGAAATTGTCGAGGGATAAACAATAGATTTCAGTTTATTAGTCCATGTGAAGATCAATTAAAAAGCAGAGAACTTGCAAAAACTTAATCAAAACTTACCACCTTTACTCATCTGGTTCTGTATAGAATAAGGCATTCATCAATCTTACTTATTTTGCTAGATCATTTTAAGTTTTAAGTTTATTAGAAAAGAGTTGCATATCAGAGATTAGATAGAGATTTCCATATTCATCATACCCACGGTGTCCCTCATGTTGCTTGGGGTCCCCTCCTTATGTAACGACCTTTCATACTACCTGACACCCTCTATCACATTTATTCTCCCTAGCTCTCTTTCTCGTAGAAATATTCTTAATTGGTGCTCAGGGTTCTTGAGAGAAGGTTTGGAGCACTACAGAGTTTGTAAAAGGTGATGCCCTAAGGGGAGAAATTTGAAAATTTCCTGCGAGGGAAGTATGGGAGAAATGCTTAGTTGTTTTAGCCAGCTGGAATGTTGCCACATGGCCACCAGATGATGGAGGCTTGAAATTGGGCATTTTAAGGAAGAGAAGTGAGGTAATACTACTGAGAGCTCTGGACATATTGTGGAGAAAGTTCTGAGATGCACAATAAGCTGGTTACTAGCACATACGGAAATGAAGAAGGAAGGAATGAAAATAGACAGTTTTCTCGAGCTAGGTAATTTAGTTGTTTTCAAAGCCTTTGTGTGACCACTATCAAATTCTGAGCAAAAAAGCTGGGAAGTGAAAAAAGAACTTCTTTCTAAGCTGATATTTGGATAGGAAATTGCTGACTATATCGCAGCTTTCCTTGGGTTTCATTGGTTCTTTCTGGTTATTTGCCAAAAAGAAATCTAACTGAGAAATTGAAGAGGCTAGAGGCCTGGTTCAAATTCTAGATGATGTACAACCTTGTGGCGAGGATAAAAGGATTTGGCGAATAATCCCTCAAGTCAAATTGTTTGTAAAATTACTGGTAAAAGAGCTCATTGGACCACAGTCAGGGAAAAGAAGGAAAAATCTTTTTGTCAAGCCATTGTTTAGGCATTATGAAATTGAAGATTATTAGGAGAAAAACATACGAGTTAAAAAGAAATAGGGATTAGAGTTTGAACTTCTTCACGTGTTTGTGTGTGTGTGTGTGTGT